CCATAAGTATTAACTCTGGCGAGAGTTCTGGACAGCTTTCCAAGAATTCTATCGATAATCTTTCTTACTGAAATTGATCTTGATACAAAGGAAAATGGTTATTGCCAATTTTCGTATAATAAAGACATCAAGTTGAATGATGTAACTTAGAAATTCTCATTTTTCGTATTTCATCAATGGAATTTTCTTTCAGCGCGATCAAAACACGAAAATTCGTCATAAAAGAACCGAAACAAATAGAAATTAATTGCGTTGAAAAAACGGATAGGTATCTTAACAATATAATGTTTCTCCTGTCAATATAAATCATGATATTTCAATGTATCAATTGTTCCATCTATCACGAGGTAATTTACATAGTTAGAAGAGAATTAACAAAAATGAGTGTGTAAATGTTGTTAATATCATGGTAGCGCTTACTGGTGCAGCAACAACTATGCTCTGACGATTACACGATCTGAATTATTCACAATACAATCCGAGCGTAATGCGATCACACATGCTATACATTTTATCAAGAATTAATTTTCATTCGGAGAACCATAATTAATAGCAATCTGTAAATAATGAGCAACAATAGCGAGAAAATAGTAATGTACTGAACGCAATACAAGCTCTGGTTATTGATTATCATTGATAATGGATGTGGAAATAGAAGGAGAGATTAAATTCAAGGGGTTGAGGGATAATATGCCAAATCATATACGCGAGAAAATTTTGTGAGATATATTTGCATATGGCACACATTCACTCAAACTGCATTTCACATATTATTAGATTATTACATCAACTAGACATAATGAAAAAAAAATAACCTAGAAACTGCAGAAAATGCTAAAAAGGCAACGTAAATGCATTCAAATGAAAATTATTATAATTGGACTCTGAAATTACATAAAATAATTCCGTGCAGATTGGATGAATTCTTTTCAAATTTGACATTTTTCTTTTTTTTTTTTTTTTTTTTCACGCGTCGATATCAAGTTGTCGTGCCAGGTGCGCATCAACGTGACGTTATAGAAGATTCGAAATGGCAGAGGCAATCAAACGTTCTATCGCGAACGAACCGTGCGATATTAAACTAAGATTTCTATCCGCTTCACGGGATTCACACTTCTCGACCCGAGTAGGTCCTGTTATTCTTTCGGCTGAGTGTTTTCCTAACGCATTTTCTACCGTCGTCGAGCGAATCGGAGCCGGAACGGAGTGCGAATATTAAATCGCATTATCCATCCTCTACGCGTCTTAAATTAAAATGTTTTCGCCCCCAAAAATCTGTTAATCCACGGGATCTCTTGCGAGACTCTAAATTTTTCTCCCTCCCTCGCGGTGTCGAAGAGACGCGACTACCTCCCTACGGCTTCGTTATCGAACTTATAAAACCTTGGAAAATTGAAGTTTCCGTACTATTAAGTGGAATTAACCTTCCTGGTGAGAATCTTAAGATTCCGATTGCACCAACTTCGCGCGTACTACCGTTGGAACTTTGCGGCGGAACTCATTGCGGCATTCAGTCCGCAATTTAGATTTCTCATTAAACGTTGAAAATCACCGATGGATGCACGCGAGTTAACCGTAGACCCGCTCCTAGACTCGTGCTCGCGCGCTCGGACTTAATTATTAGGGGTTGTTAGCTTATCGTGTAACGTACATATATAAGGTACACAGAAAGTAATGACAGAGAACGCGTGTCCGAGCTATCGCTGTAATCTATAATCATTATCCTCACAACTGTGGATACTTGATATGTTTTACTTAGATTCTTGTTTAGAATATTTAAAATAAAATTAATATTGTAATATATTTTATTTTACTTGAATTATATATTTGGTAAAAATTGTGGACTTTTAAAGCTAAGATTGAGATACAAATTTCTTTCTTTTTTTATTTTTTTAAGGTAATGCTTGAAATTAATTTGCGACATTGTTTTGTATGTTAAAACGGTCTGCAAACATTCAAATGTTTTCCTCCGCAACGAAAGTGTTACAATAGGAATGTCTCGCATACAAACGAGCTGAGAAGGTTGTAAGACTGTTAATAAATTCTGCTTAAATTTGCGAGAGCTAATTGCTTTTATACCGCAAATTTATGAGATCTCGAGCTATTGCTTAATATTTCTTTACCAGGGAATAATGAAGACAATAAATATCCGCCTGGTACAATCTATACGTTTTCGGCGACAAACACAAACCCTCAAATATAGAGACATTAACCGAACCTGAACGTTCGCGCTATGAGCTCTGTGCACATATTAGAAACTATATTCATGCGAAATAGCGGTGTACCGAATATTATGTTAACGCTACCCTTACTCTCAAACATCTCCACCATATAAGATTGCATTAAAAGAGACAGCTTTACTAAATATTTCTTATCTGTACATTGAAAAAATATATATCTCCTAAAAAGAAAAGACATTTAAGCAATAATACTTTATTGAGAATCTTTCTCTATTATGTAATTTGTCAAAAATTTTACAGTGTCCCATAGGAAATTGCTGAAACTAATCAGCTGTCACTTCTTAATGCATGCAGTTATTGAGAAAACAAAAATTGTACAAACATTTAAAAGTATACAAACATTTTATTTATATTTATTAAGAACTGTAGACGTTCCTCTTTTCAACACAATTTTTGTTTTCTCAATAATTACATGCAGTTAGTTTCAGCAATTTCCTATGGAATACCCTGTACATTATTCTATTTGTATGTGAATCGTTGAAGTAAAATTGATATTGTAACCTGATACTGCGGAACTTTGATATTTCATCCGTCAATACGAAAAATTGTGTAAAATTTGCATTTATTTACCGTATTCGTTAATATTCAATATACATAATTTTTAGCGAGAATCTGGCAAAAATAATCTGCTTATAGCATCGATGTATTATTTTATATTATATCCATTACGGATCAGAAATATAATAGTCACTGCAGCAATTACGAATTAATATTTCAATCTGCTTTTAAATTCGGAGACATATTTTATATTTCCTGTTTGTCTTTTCACGATCCATTTATTTACGTTGATTTTTATTGAACATATCGATATAGTGTTTAAACATATAAAACTGAAGTTAAAGTATAAAGATTAAATGTAAATAGCGCGAACTGAAAGAATGTTTTTATTTATTTTTATGTTATAAAATATACTTGCGCATATTTTATCGCATGTCGTGTATCTTAAAGATCAAATACCCGATCGCGTCAATTAAACATGTAAACTAGAATAAACACACATACACGTGAGACAGTAAAGAACGCTGCACATATGTGCATAGTGATATTATTAAATATATGTGCATTATATTATACAGATAATTACCTTTCTAAATCGCTGTAACATAACAAAAAAATGTCTGTTTCTAAACAGTTATGCAACATATTCTTTGAAGGGAAGTTTCACATAAAAAATGGCTTTGTAATTATTGTACGTGCGAGACTGGTAGGAAATACAAACTAAAATCAATAAATACCCGCGCAATTGAACAAAAAAGTATGCGCGCGGCTATATATATATATTTTCCAAGTAAATTCAGTATCTTTGTGTCATGGCATGATTAAATACAAGCAGTCACTTTCGATCCCGCGAGTCTAAAACGTATGTCGCACGTATATACATTGTACATGTGCGTGCGACGCCACTCGCATTTGCCACATTGCAGAATAATCTATGGGGATCCCACTCGACATCGGTTTCCGCGTCCGTGGCGTGTGTGTACGTTCGACGCCTTAAAATATTCACGAGATCAATATTCCGCACTTGTCGCGGATATACGATTTTAGCTGACGCGCGAGGCTTCTCGTGAGAATTTCGGCAAATAGATCAGACACCGGCGCATAATATAAACCGTTATGATACGCTATCTTTTGCGCGCCGCGTCGAAACAAGCTCTTATAACTTCATCGATATCCAAAAATCTCGCGTGAAATTCTTCGCATTTCTGCAACATTTTATATGATTTCCTATAATTTTCATATGATTTCATATAATTTTAAATAATAAATATTTTTATTCAATAATTAATTTCTGAAAAATATATAATATAAATGTTATCTAATATTTTATATATCCATATGAGAAAATAAAAGCTTCAATTTTTCTGTTATGCATTTAAAATCTCGTTTATATTTATATAATATATCGTAGATTCGAGCTACGAAGGCTGCATACATATAGTCTTCTAATTGATTACAACATTAGTTCCCGAAACAGGTGCGGGCCTAATGGACCCGTCTGCCAGACGGAGGATTAAGTGACACGCGATGAAATTAAATGCCGTTACCTCTAAAGAAATATACGCGCGATCGATACAGATACGCGTAGTATAAATATGGCGCTACCAAGGTCCGAGAGATGCGCTTTAGATCGCCACACGGGCCGATGATAAATGGCCGAGTTAATGGCCGACGTACTATTAATGAGAAACAGGATTTGTTGTTGATGTCGGCAAAAATGAGAGACGAATCAACGTAAAGGGTGGTAGTAGATGTTTAGATTAAGTTTTTTTGTTCGTTTTTACTAAAGTCGACTCTCGCGGCTATAATAGGATCTGGCTCTATATTTCATGCATTATATATATATATATATATATATTAAAGACTTCCTCTGGTTAATTTTTATTTATTCAGTTTCCAAGTACATTTATAAAATGTTGGAAATATATTGTGATATATTTTAAAAAATATATACATATTTATATTGTATATATGTATACATGTATTATTTTGAAGCTACATGCGATAAATAAAATACGCGCAAGTAAATTTGATAACAATAAAAATGAATAACAGCATCCTTCTTTTATAGTTAATCTCTCATCTCTATATCGGTGATATATTTTTTCGCGTCCAAAAGAGGAATCAACATACTTTAATCTCACGATTGATTTTTTGCTATCGTATATCTCTCGCCATTTAAACGAGATATTGATTAATTGAGTGATTAATTTTGCACCCTCGCGATCGTTTTTCAAACGTAAGGCATGTTGCATAATTTACCTTGTTATCGCGCATCCGGCGGATTCCTTGGCATCCCCGATAGCATCGATCGCCGATCGTCGCATCCTCCGCGCTGATTCCGGAGCGAAATCCGTATTGAGCGCACTGGAGTATCCGGCCATCGTAGTTCCGATTCCCATAGAGCTCGCGAGCACTACATAGACATATCCTACGTGGATGAATTCGTCGCGTACAAGCACTCTATGTATATATATATATATATACAATATATATATATAATATTCCGTGCACACCAAAACAAACAAACACCTTTCGCGGCCGAAGAAAACGTATGATCCGCGACAGGGTAACAAACTTGCTGGGGAGGGTGACCTGTCACACGTGTTGTTGCACACGTCGCATACACAAGCACTCACTTTCGGCGCTCGAGAGGAGAGTACGGGTTCGATTTTTCTCTCTCGTTAAACTCGCGAGCGGACCGAGCCGGACATAATCTCTAAAGACGTACCCCCGATCCATCCGCGTATACGCGCACGATATATAAAATGATACACCACCGCGTCTCTCTCTCTCTCTCTCTCTCTTTCTCTCTCCCCTCGCACCCTCACACGAACATTACCGAACGCACCACTAGTGTGTCCACTCTTGACGCACGAGGTGATGACGGTATCGTCAGGACGAGATCGAAGCACCCACGGCTGCGAGTCCTCTCGGCGCGCGTCGCTCACCCCGCGGCATCACGACATATATATCTGGATATATGTATTATCCGCGCGAACGCGATCGGTCGTCGTCTACGGGGGTTGAAATCTGACGAGCGAGAGCGCGGAGCTGCGCGAGCGACGTCCCTTTCCGTGGCCCGCGATTAGACTCTTCCGGATCCCGGAGAGCGTTTCGGATCCCGCACTCTCGTGGAACTCAAAAGAAGAGAAAGAGAAAGAAAGAAAGAGAGAGGGGGGAAGAAAAGAACGCGCGCGGTTCGACGTTCGTTGACGTCGCTTCCGTCAGACGAGAGAGAGGATGGCTTGTGATGAGGGGGTGAAACGAGAGACACGGGACTCGCGTCGTCGCGGCTCTTTGCATCCGACCCGCACGGCAGACAGCACGATACTACTGACGGTTCCTACGCGAAGCGTAATTCCATCCCCACCTCGCGCCGCCTGCCAGGTTACCCCTACTAGCGGCGCCGTTGCTACACGCGTCCCTTACCCCCTCCTCGATAATAGGCACGCACCGAGAGCTATCCGGAGCGTGACACACGCTTACGTATCTGGTGGGGGCTACGGTCGCGTGGCGGCAGCCGACTGAGTGGGGCGAGATGAACTTGGCGGCGGCGGTGGCGGTGGTGGTGGTAGCGGCGGCGGCGGCGGCAGCGGCAGCGGTGGCTGACGCATGCGCTTGCCACGCGCCGCCGCCGCCACGCCGCCGCCGCCGCCGCGCACTGCCGCCGCCGCCGCCACTGCCGCCGCCCGCCACTGCCGCCGCCGCCGCCGCCGCCGCCACCGCCATCGCCGCTCGCTGCTCGTCGTTCCAACGTAGAGACGCATCCGCGGAGCGCCTCGCGAAAATCTATGGTAAGTGCATGCGTATGTACGTACGCGACCGCGTACAACGAAGACCGCGAGAGTGCAGGGACCTCTCTCGACGGCGATGCTGGGGCGCTAGAAGATGCTAGGTTAAACGCAGCTACGTGACTTCTGTCCGGTCCGGAGGCGGGGGCGAATTACACGGCGCATCGGAAAAGAATCCGTGCGACTTTCGCGGAGTTTTACCGCGGGAAAGATTATGACTTATCGTACGGTATAAAGTGTAATGATACTATAGTACCGCGGTACCGCGGAATGCCATCGCGCGATACGTACACGAGGGTGTACGTATATACTGGGGCGTCGTTTGCAGTTTCCTGCACTCCTCTTCAGCAGTCGCGACACGCGAGAATGCATCATTATATTCTCTTTTTGTAGCTGCGAACATATTATTGTTAATAAGCGCCACGAATGTGGAGATGTATTATAAAAGCTCGTTCTATTATTTTTTGACAGCCGAATTAATGGTTCGAATCAATATTTATCAATCAAACCCGCATTTCCTTTATTTAAATAAAGCGCTAGTAATTATAAATTAGACACCTGTGGTATTCACCCTGCGTCCATTGATATTGTTACATTGTTGTGCAATTATTCGGAACGTTATGATATTAAACTCGACGTTTAAATATTTAACATTCGTGGCATTTAACTTGAATGGAATTTCAATCTCGTTCCACGCTCAAATACATCGTATTATATAAATATATCGAGTCGTGCGCGAGGAAGCCAGATTTTCGAGAACTCGTCCAAGGAAAGACAGGACTAGAGAGAAAGACGCATCTATTTACAAAGCGTCCGCTCATTTATCGCACCGGAAATGCACACGTATAATATATCGCGCATATCTCCTTTGCAGCCTTCGCCAGGAAGATTGGCGAAGGCTGCAAAGGAGTCACTCCAAGCAGAAGAGATGATGGCGGTGCGAACTTATAATGTTCCCGAGAACAAAGCGTTCTCGCTCGTACGCGCTTCTTGATCTTAAACTCCTTTGCGAAATTATATCCAATTGCGTGGAGAAATAAAATGAATTTCCCGCATATACGCGAAAAACGCGATCGGTTTTATTTTTTTCGCAAAAAAAGAAAAAAAATTATTACATACATTGCGGTTCGATTTTTATGTGTTTGACGCATAGTTTCAATGACACGCGTGTCATGCCAAAAAAATAGCTACATTTCATACATACTTTTTCGCATTTTTTTCCGCGTAACGCAACTCTTTTGTATTTCAATATGTTTCTTTACAATATAACAAAATGCATTGTCGATTTTTTTATTGTTATCGAAAAAGAAAGAACTGACAGAAGCATTATACGCGCAGATTTGCAATCAGCTTTTACATTTTTACGTTCAGCTGCTAAACGAAACGGTCATTAACGTTTGTGTTAGGAACGAACGTTATTAAGCCAATTCAATCACGAGGATAATTCCGAGTAAATCTTTTAGACGTTTAATAAAGAATTTGGAGCACGAAGCAATATATATAGAGTGAGAAGAGGTGGCGTGTCTTACTCGACGCCGCCGACAATGATAACGGAACACGACAGCGCCGGCTATTACGTGCCTCCTCGAGAAAATATCGCATCGTGATCCCGAAAGCCTCCCATTGAAATTTTAATTTTATATATCATGCTAACGACGCGGGTGGATAGGTTCGCACGTATATTCTACACATCGAATACTTTCTCGTTCTGCCAGTATACACGTATACATACCTATATACGTATACGTTTAAATTATTCGTTAAAATATTACCGACCACGATTGATCAAGATTCGCCGTGCCATCTTGGTAAACGCGATATATATTGGAATAAAAAGTGCATTTCGTGTCGATCGATCGACGAGATCTATTATTTTTTTCTCTTTTAACGGGAATATATGAGTACTTTACGTGATACGATACATACATATATATATATATATATTATATATATATTATATATATATATATATATATATATTGATGAAAGTTTAAACTTATCAGCTAAGTCACAAACCGCAAGTCGCATCGTCGACGAAATCTATTCCGTCAGATGTACCAGTAAGCTCGCATCCGACGGAATTGGACTAATAATTAATTTATTCGAGTGAATAAATTACGTTCTAATTTCTCACTTCTAACGTCTCCATCCGCGCGACGACGCGGATCAAGAGCCATGGAGAAAGAATTATGAAAGGAAATGCGCGCGTGTACGACATGACGCGCGCGCTTCGCTCATTCCATCGGGGAAGTTCGCTGGAGAATTTGGGATATGGGCTGTGTAGTCTTGCACGAGAGGCATCTCATTCGACACCACAGACGGTAATAACGAGAGCGCCCGGCGGCGCGAGGCTACGTGCTTCCTCCGGAGAATATTAATCCGTAATGCCGAGCTCGGTCTGCTGAATCTCTCTCTCTCTCTATCTCTCTACCTCTCTATCTTCCAGCTTGTACTATATCAGATACGAAAGGAAAGCACCGAGCAGCGGCGAGGCTTTTCCTTGCGGAGACCGAAACTTTTACGGCAACGCAAATCACGGGTTGTTCGATCCATTTCTCCGTCCGTCTTTCCTTTTCCATGACTTTAATTTTTTTTTTATAATAATCGTCGTTGCTACATTCCCCCAAAAACATGGAAATAAATTTGTGGAGGTGCGAGAGAGTAAACTAAAACAAAAAAAATAGAAAATGTCTCCGTTATTCCGTAAACTATACGATGCATTTGACTGCCCTGACCGAGCTCCCTTTGTTTGCTCGTTCGTTCGTTCAGATTATACGGATGCGCATTCATGTACCGGCACACGGAGCAGGTGCAGGACCGAAGAGAAGAGCGAACGACCGAACGGATCCGGTTCGGGATAAACGCTACGCGAATCCCCTTTCTTGTTGGCTTGTTCGCATAATATTGAACTAGCTTAAGCCAGTCGTCGGAGTAGCAAAATTAAAAGAGAGAGTTTGTTCTTTGTCTTACTTTTTATTATTTTTTTTTTATTTATTTATTGAGGAATAAATTTTATTATGACTGACGGAATCGTCGATTGTTCTTTCAACTGAACAAATATCGGTTCTTTTTTTTTTGTTTCACTGAACATTACACGATAATAATATAATTTAATGCATGCTACCTTGTATAACAGCGCGCATTATAAACATCGCGTAATTACATAATAACTATTCAATTAACTTGATATTTGTTTGAATAATTTATACGTATATAACAATTTGTATATAACAATCATTTTGTTACCATTTATTATTAACGTGAAAAACAGATATGATCCATCAGGGAACGTGACATAAGCACGAGAAAGCTTTTAAAACGCTGAGGAATATTGAAAAAAAGTTCTATTCATCTTAAAAATGATCAAACCATGATTGTTTTAAAGTAGCAAACCAATGAACCGTATGAAATTCCACGTAATTATCCGGAAGTAATGCCTCATCGGGAAGCGTAACGCCTCCGCAGTCACTGTTAGCTTAATCGGAACGGCTTCCCCTTTTAATTCCGCGTAATATCTACTCCGGGAACCACCCCTTCTTCAAGGAAATTTGCATCAACTGAATGACAGGATGTAGACACCGGTGCATAACACCTTTTTATAAAATTGTTTGTTTTTCTAGATATCAAAAAGCTTCCGCAAATTTTTTCTATTAAATTGTACGTATATAATTAAAGCAGAAGTGTACCTCAAATTTAAATTTTACTTTAAAAAAGTATTACTTGAGTGAAATATATCTCTTTCATTTTATTCTCCCGACACATTTGAGTGTATATATGTGTCTAGATTTTAAATATTTTAATACCGAATTAGTAAATGTATACCTAGCACTTGTTTTTATCTAACTATTTGCTTTATTTGAATTTTTGATTTCGAGCTATTAAGGATTAATCAGGAAAAAAGATCTCACGGATCCTTTTCCTCGAGAAACTTTAATCAGAATTTCTCATCTACTTAAATTTTCTTTCAAAACATAATAAGCTCTATTATACTTAGGAAATTAAAAGAATTTCTGTTAATAGAACTTGGCGCATTTCAATATGGATTATATGGGTTGTGCGCGCAATTGAACTTTTTATTGTTACACATAATAAATATAAAATTATACATGATTAAAAATTGTGTATAAAATTTAACATTTAAAAGTTTAATTCTTATAATTCTAAATCTTTTTCTCTTTCTTTAAACATAAAATTGAAATATTTGATATATCTTATATATTTCATTCTTTCTCTGAAAGATTAATCATTATAAATATTTTATATTATAAATCTTTTCAATATATTTGTTAAAATTTTAAATATTTTACATGCATTGCATTATGAATATATATCAAATAAATCACTATCGTAATCAAAAGAGAGAAAAAGAGGAAAAGAGAGAGAGAGAAGGAGAGAGAGCGCAATATTAATTAATCTTACTTTAGAATAATCAATAAAATATAAGTAATATATGAGAGAATGATTAAAGTGATATCGTAATCAATTAAATAATAAATAAGTTATAAATTGCTTACCCCACAGTTGCTCCGCTGTCGTTATCCAAGCTCTCTTTTTCTCTCCTCTTGTTCATGTTTTACTGCTTTTTCATGGCACTCACACGCGAAACTCATTCGCGAAAATATTGTTAATTACGATCGTGCGCGGACTAATCAGAATACGATGATTGCGCGATATTTCGACATTAATCGCAAGAAACGCGTGTTTTATTATACAGGCCT